GGTCTTTTTGTTCCTGTAGCGGCCGTCTTAGCGTAGATATATTTCAAACAGTAATAAGTAATGGTTGGAATAAATTGAAGAACGAAAATTGTTTTTTGGTCATATTTGACAATTCAGAATTGACATTTCAGTAGGCCTTTCTAGATTTTTTAGACAGAAATTTTACCACAACAGCGGAATGATGAAATTTTTGTAGCATGGCCAGCTTATTCACATTCACCAGCTGAAACCGTGGTCACTGGTGGAGGTGCTGACGCAGAAGTACGATTGGTCGATGGAATCGGCCGCACAGTTCTCATCTTTTTTGATCCCAATGCTGGCATTCGATCAGGATGAACGAGCAACAGCCCGTCAGTGTCTCCAACATGACTGGTTAAAGCCAAATGGTGGAAAGCCAATACCGAGTGAGGCACAAGCAGCATCGCCTTCGTTATCGTTAGAGTCGCAACAGCTGGAGCAGGACGAGCAGGAGGACGAGGAGGAATCGGGCGAACTGCAGGAGGCGCAGTTATTTCTCGAGTCGCCTCAGGCATGCATTTTTTTTTTGCAAAAAAATGAATGATTGTGGGATTGCATTTGTCATATTTGTGCAGTTCCTGTAGTTTTAATGGCTGCATCGTTAGTAATCAAAGGGAGAGGGACAGTCAGTTAAAAGTTAAAATTACTTCAAAATCTATTTTGAGAGGAATAACGTCACTTGAAAACGGCCGGAGTGATAGCGTTTGCGATCAGAACGCTGATTTTGACGTAAAAAACAGTGGAACGAAGAATGATTGGAGTCATAAATAGACAGGCTCGCGCCCCAAAACATTGCTTGCGAGATTTCAGTGCAATTTCGAAAAAAAGTAAAATTCGATGTGCGACACGTGTTGCTTTTCCATACCAGCACCCCGTGAACAACATCACATTTCGGTGGGCGATGCTTACGAGAAAGTAAAAAAAAAAAAAAACAGTTGGATATTTCCCGAAAAGCTGGCAATTCCTACCTAGGGAAGGTGGTAGGTACCAGTTGGAGGTTTGCAGTTTGGAATTAGGCCTGGTATAGCTAGACAGTGTGCGTGAGAATATCCCAATAGCATCACTGTCGCGTCAGATGTGCGCGTCGATTTACCGACGTGATGGGTTTGGTATCCGACGACAGCGATGGTCTTAATATCCGTGATAACTAAATAACTGGTTGATTTCTGATATCCGTGATAAATAACTAAACTGA